CCGAAGACGGAGCCGGGTCTCGCGCCGGTGAAGACGGAGCCGGGGCTGGCTCCGGTGAAGACAGAGCCGGGGCTGCTGGCGCCGGTGAAGGCGGAGCACGGCGAGGTCGAGCTCGACGACGACGCGACCCTTGAATGGGCGCGCCAAGACTCCCTGAAGATGGCGAGGGAGCGCCAGCGCGCCGCCCTAGAGCGCTTCGCGCAGCGCCGCCGAGGCCGCGACGAAGGCGGCGTCGTCATCATCGACGAGAGCGACGACGACAACGACGCGCCGCCGCCGCCGCCACCAGCCGGGGAGGGGTCCAGCAGGGGCGCCCGAGTCAAGGAGGAGAAGGCCGACGATGGCGGCGACGACGGCGACTTCTCGGCCTTCAGCAAGTTTTTTTGACTAGTTTTTATATGTAATGGCGTGTTTTAGCCCAAATTTGCGAATATAAAAGCCCATGTTTGCCGAAAAGTGGCATGTTTCAGCCCAAGTTTGACTATTTGTTTTTTCACGCCTGGGGCCGGCGGCAGGGGGCCAACTCGCCCCAGGCCCACTTTTTGCCCCGGGTCACCCCTAGGTGGCGATTTTAGACGTCCCCTGGGGGCCAACGGCTGGAGATGCTCTTAGTTTTGCACTTCTATTCCTTTGTCATTCCTCTGGCTCTTTCAATTCCCACGTTTACTATTCCTGTGAACCTAATAAGGCCTAAACGACTCGAGAAAGGGAAGCGAGGAAGAAAAATGGAACGACTGGACGAGAGCTGGAGATAAAGCATGAAGGAGATAAAGCAGTGGTGGGCCCCATAGGGACACGTGTCACACAAGGTAGTTTTATGGAATCGTTTCCGTACTCATTTTTCTTCCTCGTTTCCCTTTCTCGATTCACACAGCGGATGCATGACATAAATTCCTGCAACATCATTCATGTTGCAGAATCCCACTTGCAACATGCTTATGTTGCAAGGAAAGGTGGCGCATGACATAAATTCCCGCAACATTGCAAAAGCCCTCATGCAACATTGTTTACGTTGCAAAAAAAGGTGAAGACGAAAAAAAAAATCTGCAACACCACCTCCATTGCAGAAGTCCTCCAACAAGATCATATATGTTGCAAAATGGGTGAAGAAAACAGAAATATGCTGCAACACCACCTCTCTTCCAAATATTTCTGCAACAAGAACTATGTTGGAACACAATAGAGTTTCTGTTTCGAGCAAAAATAACACTTCGGTGGTTTCGTGTTGTAGAGCGAGCTGCACAACATCACCTTGTTGAAATTCGTGCCACAATTCAACGGTGCAGGAGGCGGTTGATGTTTACAATTCATCTACCATCCGATGCGTAGCGCGGCCGTTTAGTAGAAGCAATCAGATAAGGG